GAAAAACTATTTGATAACATTCGTGACCTGAGCTGACCCCATTGGCATAAACAGGGGTCATGGGTGATATTGTCATGTTCAGTGTGGCATAGTTACCCGTAACTCAGTGTTTGAGAGTGTTTAGATTGGCGTTCGTCCAAAAGAGGCGTGCTTCAATTTTTTTCCATTGACTTATTGGGGGTCGTACAATTGACCTGACCTTAGGTCACCGATATCAAAATTCCGAGATAAACATTTTGTACATACTGTTGCTCTTATTCATCGCTGAAAGTTTCAAAGTGATCGGTCACTCGGTGTAGCTAAGGCAGACATTGAAACTTCGGAAGTCACTTGAAGTGACCTGGTGAGTCGATGATCTTGAATGATCTTGGTGTGAAATTTCTCCAACATGCAGGTACAGAAAAGATGCATGATAAGGCGCCGCCGTTTTTGAGATATTCGCGAAAAAAAAACCTCAGGTGGGGGTGTTCAAACACCCTCCAGCAGGACGCGGGTTAACACTCGCTGGCCGAGGGGGCGGGCGCCCCCCCCCCCCACACACACACCATAGGTTTTTTCGCGATAGCTCCGAACACGCCGGCGATAGAGAGCTGAAACTGGGCATACCTGACCTTTAATCTAAGCCGCATCTTGTGACACCAACCGTATTTTCAGGTCAGGTCAGGTCACTAAGCGAGCCTCTGCGCCGGTCCTAAAATGTCACAACTTCGCAACGCCCTCAATGCCAAAGTAACTTTCACAGGGAGATGAAACTTACAGGTTGTAGTATCCTCCAGAGGTCTCACAGCTTGTTAATCTCAGATTTTTCCTAAAGGTCACATGAGGTCAGGCCGGTCACGTGACCGCGTAGACACGAAAATTGCTTCAGAAATATTCAAATTAGTGAAGAATTCGAAAACATCTAAAAAAAAATACCCTTATAGTCGTTAAACGCCACGAACAAAAGCAGCATTGTACGCAAACAAAATTTATTGTGAAAACAGTACACCGACACCATTTTCCTTTCATGAGGCACTTGTAGAAACAGGAAAGCATCGCATGTGCCCAGCCATTCCAACAAACGACGGAGTATAACAATTGGTCAAACACCATCAGCTTAATTCAACACTGTTGAATCAACATTCAACAGTGTTGCACTGTTGAATCTACAGTGCAATCGCGTAACAGTCAACCAGTGAGCCTGAAGTGAAGCCTCATCTAGTTCGCATAGCGTCACAATAGCCTCGTTTTATCACAACCAATAGCCGAGTATATCGAAAATACTGAGCAAAATATTCGAGATTACCCGTTAATGCCACTTTCAATCCTGCGTATGGTGCGGGTGCATGACATTACAATTACAACTACAGATAGATAACAGTACAAACTATAAACTGCTCTAATATAACAGAAAAGCCTCAGTGCGATGACGTCCGATTCTTACAGTGCTCAAAGCAGGTGAATTAACCCGCGCCCTGGTGGGGTCTGTTTATAACGCGACCTGGTGGGGGGGGGGGCTATTTTTTGCCCCCCCTCGTATCTCCGAAACTACTGGACGGATCCGAAAAATTCAAACGGCGTTCGAAAGGCCTGTCAAATTTGTCAAGGGAAACCAAATTTTATTGACCTCGGGGTCACCGATGACGTCACAGGTCAGGTCAAAGATGAAATGTTTCACCGTTCACGGGTCTTCTAGGGAATGCGCTATAACACCGAGGAAAACGCATTTTGTCGGGAATCAGCGATAGGGCGTCAGTTGCCTAGTAGATATGTTGCTGTTAGAGGTCACTGGTCATACCAGGTCAGGTCACAGGTCAGGTCACCAAAGGTCACCAAGGGTCACCACATGAACCCAACTTTACTAAGGTTATGCGATGCATGTTTTATGGCCAGTTTTTCATTTCCAACTCAATGGTATTGGTTATAAGACCATCAGGTACGGTTTAGGTCACTTTCTGGTGGAGGTCAGGTCAAGGTCAGGTCAAAAAAGGTCAAATTTCAAAGTTGATATTTTTGCATAAAATGGGTATTGATTCGATGCAGCTCGTCACGGGGAGTCTAATGGTGGTCTTTGTTTTGCGCTACGAGGTCTAGAATTGCTGAAAATTGAGTTTGAAAATTTGACGTCATCAATTTTGAACAGTTTTTTCGCTATAACTTGGCCAAAAAAAGAGGTATTGATCTCAAATTTGGTATGTAGATAGAAGGCGGTAAGGACTATCACATATATTCCGGTTTTTTCGAAATTCCAAAAACTTTTTGGATTTTTTGGCTATTATATTCAAAAAATCTATTTTTTGATTTTTGGGGGTCAAAATCCAAAAATTTCAAAAATCCGAGATAGCAGTTTTGTAGCCCTGTCCATTCTACAGCTTTTATGTCTGTATCATTTTTCTGTATTTGCAAAGCTATAGGCCTGACAGCTCTTCCTGCGAAACCCTTTTTTGGGTCGAAAACGGCAGAACATGACGTCACTCTGACGTCATTTCCGGCCAACCTATCATAGCCTTTGGAAAAATTTTTGGTCACAATGTGTAAAATTGATGTCCGGGAGGGTACTGAAAGTTTGGTGACGATCGGCGCAGTGGTTCTGGAGATATATCGAAAAGTCTGGAGGGGGGGCAAAAAATAGCCCCCCCCCCACCAGGTCGCGGGTTAAGTTTGCCGATACAAATAGACATACTTAAAATAAGTCACCATCTCAACCATTCACGGAGTTCGCCAACCAACACCAGTGCAAAAGGTAAATGGCAAGAACGACTGCGCAATAGATAAACCTGTACCGGTAACAATAACAACTTCAGCTGCGACCATAACATTGTTAACAAACTTTTAAAGATAAAGTAGCACTGTCCTCAAAAATCGGCGGCGCGAGAGGCACTATAACATTGTCTGGACGGATGGAGTATGGCCCTCAAACAGGCAACATTCTTAAAATCTTGGACCCTGAACACAGAACAGCTCCATTTCCTACATAACATCTCGCAAATATAACAACGAGCCATGCTTATATAAATGTACAAAAATATGTTCACAATAGGCAAACTAGGTATGCTCGTATTATAATTATAATCATTCGTTATGGACGGAAGCAGTTCGAGGACTTGAGCAGCAGCGCCACGGACAGAAGGAAGACTAACAGTTCAGATCTTTGCCGCCATGCGGCGGGCCCACCTCTCGCCAGCGGACGAATCCACAGTTTCCGTACTGACGAGTTAACGCAATCTCAGCATTTTTTTTTTCTTCTTCTCCGCAGATTCACAAACACAACACTAACGTAACTTAGTAATGCAGAATCCGTCCAAATCCTGGCTTATCGCCGCGACACGAGCCCGGCAGTTTTCCACCCCACGGACAGATGCCGCTCGCGGGTTAAACAGACTGTGATATCGTTGTGTCGTGAGGGAACCGCCTGATAGTCGGCACCATCACTCAGCCTGGTCAGAGTCTGAGTCTCCTTCGGCAGGGCTGCGGAAGAGAGGGGAATGACGTCAGCAACATCAGAGAGTAACAGCAGCGCACACGAGAGAGAATGAGAGCTAGGAGATCGCCGTGCTAACAACAGCGTTCGCAGTTCGCACAGGAGCAAAAACAAAATGAAATCACAAAATGAAATCACTGCCGCATTTAAACACGCATGGGAAGTAAATGATATACACACAAAAGCATCACAGACACTGCCATAAAAATATGAATAAAATGGTATCTGAAAGAAAACATTTTGTTTTTGTTTTTTTGCTAGGAGTCACTATGACGTAGTGCAAGATTTATTCGGCCAAGTCCACTTTAATTTCGAGTGACTCCGGCAGACATGTAAATAAAAGTTAAAAATAACAATTCTAATAAGTGTCAACTGTCGTGCAACTTCAATCAATAATCAAATAGTTTAAACAGAAATCGCGCGTTTATTTAAAAAGAAAGATAAAACAAAAACAAAAAAAAACAAAAATAACTAAATAAATGTGAGATTACCAAAATGTGATTACGGAGCGAGCGAAGCGAGCGTAGTCTTTCCTTAGATTAACGGAAATTTCTGAATATGAGCGGCCGGCCGGCCGGCCGGCCGGCCGTGGTCACGATTCTACGACGCTTATATCTCAGCAACCACTTGACCGATTTACATGCGGTAATTTTTGTAGGATAGCTTCATTCCTTCTACCAAGTATTGGACTATTCCCGATACATGTGGGTGACCCCTTATGCACGTGCCACGTGCAAAACGAAGAGGTGTCACTTTTGTAATAGTTGCAATATCTCGGTAACTACTGGGCCGATTGCGCTGAAAGTTGGCATGTAGGTAGGCACCCACTAGGCAATGCATATCCATGTGCCAGAGTTGAGGTGCTGCTGCACGTGCGCACGTGCAGTGGTCGATTCCAGATCTCGAGAACGGCTGGACCGATTGCGCTCAAATTTGGTACACGGTTACGGAGCAGTTGGTAGGGTGCCGTGCACAAGTCAGTTGGGACCCATTTTGCACGTGCGCACGTGCAGGGTGCCGCTTTCAGATCTCGAGAACGGCTGGGCCGATTTTGCTCAAATTTGCCACATCGCTAGAGACCGGTTAGTAGGGTGCCGTGCACAAGTCAGTTGGAGGTACCCCCTCGCAATTTCGCACGTGCAAGGCCCACCCTCTCGCTCGCTCCGTTAGTCGCCCCAAAAGGCGTTATACTGGTACAGCTAGGACAATTAAATATAACTCACAACTGTCCGGTAACTTACGTGTCATTGTTTTCTGCCTGTTCCCCGTCCAGATTGTCACCACGGTTGGCGTTTTCCTTTTCAGCAGTACCTTCAGCGCCACCCCAGCTAACTTTCTGATCACCGTCCGTCTTCTCCGTCGTCCTCTTCTTACTCTTCTTTCCCGAAGCCGAGCCCTCCGTCTTTCCGTGATACTCGTACTGAAAGTTCAGACAAACGTTTGACATGGCTCCCTGGGGAACAATCCCCGTTGTGAGCGACTAGCTACTGGACTACACTACGTGTCTGCCCCGGCCGGCCGACAGCGCCGGCGGACTTACCTGATAGAGGGGCCAGAACGAGGCGAAGAACCCGACGTCCTCTGTGAGGTTGGGCAGCAGCCACAGCTGGTGACGGCCCCAGGTGACCAGCCAGAGCAGACAAAACACCACCACACGCACCACGGCCAGCACCAGTATCACCACCAGGAAGCCGGCAGCGGCCAGTGACAGGTAGTACACGTACTCCCTGTGGTGCAGAATTAGTGACACCGTCAGTTCTGCGCGCCGTGTCTCATACTGAAATTCACTGGACTGGACAGAGGCTTTTGAGTGAACACTTCTCATAACACAAATCCAATTATTTTCCCAAGAGATTCACATTAGATGCGGAAAGAATTGAAAGTTATTACAAAGTAGGCATGGGGGCTAGTGATTTCCAATCACTTCTCACTGAAACGATGACGCAGTTTTACTAACAGCCTCTGCCTACCCCCAAGATCTCCCCACCTCTAAGCCTTCCCCCTCCATCCTTCCAGTTTCCCAAAAGACAAGACATCGTCCGTCAAGAGACCGCCTACGTGCCTCATTTTGCTGGGCCACAGCGGGAACAGGCAGACAGCCACGATGGCCGCGACGATCAGGGAGCCGAGCAGCCAGTAATAGGTCGGAATCGGGTCGTAGATCCACACGTAGGCGTCGGTACCGTCCACAAACAGCTGCTCCAGGTGCATGTCCAGCTTGATACGCCGCTTCGGCTTGCCGTCATCTCCGTCCTGGGGAGGGAGGGAGGGGAGGGATGTTGATGGAGCAATGGGAGAATGGGGAAGTGAGATGCGATGCACTGGCCGCGGTATTGGTTTGTTAGGGAAGGTGGCTAAACAGGTCGTTGAGGGAAGTGAGACGAGGAAAGCGCAGACAGACACAGACACATGAGACACAGACACGTATTGTCATATCAAACAATGCATACAAAATGAAAAAAAATCGATAGAACAATTTCGTTTTCCTTTTAGGGTTCATACGATCAAGAACTAAGCAAAAGCAAAGTCGGGCTGTAGTGAATAACTTGACTATCATTTGGTAAATTCATCGCATCGGAAACAAAGCAACTCTGTTCGCATGCTTACTCAAAATGGTTGCATTATCTGAATCATATGTATTATCTGTAGCGGCCCCACATCTGTTCACTTGCAATAAAATTGAATTAATCAAATTAATCACTTAGGTACTGTTGTCTCTGAGTACCCACCTTCCCGGAGGCTTTCGGCGAGGCCTCTCCCTCGACTGCGCTCCGCTCGGCGGCCGTATCCTCTGCTGCGCTGCGCTCCTCGGCTGTGCGCCGGTCGTCCCGCTCCGACTCAGAGTCGCCGCGCGGCGCCGTGCGACGCTTCTCCTCCTCTTCCAGCTTCTTAAGCTTCTTCAGCTGCTTGCGGCGCAGGTCGCGGTCGCTGATGGCCACCTTCTTGGCGCGGTGGAAGAACTTGCGTCGCAGCATTCTGTGGGGCGAAGGACGGTGGGAATGATAATGTGACTGCATGTGGCAGGCTAAAACGAACAGTCCAGCACCAATGGGCACTGGCAAAGTTTCAACAATAAAACAAGCATGAGGGTGAAGAAATTAACTAAATAGAACCCTGAGCTGATAAAATGATCATAGAGGACACCAATCCAGAAATGTGTATACTTCTCCCTGGCTGCTGTGGGGAGCAGCATCGCAATCAATTAGCCATGGCATGAGTCAACACTCGGATATCGGCACCGATACCGACTGCTGAGCGCTCATAGCTCACCCGTCCAGGAAGTCGACCACCGACTGGCGGTCGGTGAACAGCGCCGGCTGCCTCTCCGAGTCGGTGGCCCACGGTGAGTCGAGCAGCACGTCCACAGCTCGCGACGCCGTGAAGTACTCCACCGGATGGTGCAGGAACTTGGTCTTCTTGCGCGGCACATGCTCGCGCATGTATTTTCCGACGGCATATTCCAGCGCGGATGGTTTCTCTGGTGCCGGTGGTTTCTGAAGATGATTCCATTTGTAACCAATCACGAAACAGAACAGGGCTAAGACAAAGCTGAACAAGTAATCGACAGTTGATCTTATCAAACATATCATAAAACTACAGCAATTCAAAATTGCATAACACATACTTGTCTAGGGGTACAAGTTATCAGTTGCAATAGTTGTCTTGGACAATAGTTGTTAGTTGCATTGTCACTTGTCATTTATATGATGCAATATTTTATGAGCTAAAATTGCCTTTCATTTAGAAAAAATAGTAAAAAGATGGTCTGCACAAGCTGAGCCCTCTTGCACCAAAATCCTCTTGCACCAATGCTTGGATTATTTTGCATCGTATACCCAATCCAAGACTCAAATGTGACAATGTGCGTGTAAAATTTACCAAGCACCAGTAGGATTATGTATTGGGCTATTGCAAACAAATTTACCATCGTTTGATTAGCTTATTCTGAAACCGGTTTTTCGAATTTACCTAGCTGGGTAGTTTGGTGCAAGAGGCCTCAGGTCTTGCATTGCATTATTGAAGTTCCTTAAAATTGATGTCAATAGTATAGGTATATATTTACAAAGCAGCTGACAAATACTTACTGGAGGAGTTCGCTTGACTTTTGACATTTCTGCTTCAGCTGTTTTGATGAAAGTTGATGCTTCTGTGCTTTAATCTCTCAAAATATCAGATTCTGAAACAGTTCTCATGTGCTTTATTACTAGACAATTGAAAATTAACATTTTTGTTTTGCCTGAAAGCAGTTGGCAGTCCATTGCAACAACTCTACCTACATGTGCCTTGCCTATAATGACTATTGGTAAAGATAATTTGAGAATGACATCATCCCATTGAAAGGTCAAAACTGCTAATATTGGTACCTAATTGAAGAATGCAAGTGGATATGCAGTATTCTTTTTCAGCTCATATATATTTTGTCAGGGCTACAGAGTTAATGATTTTTTGTGAATCAAACTCGAACTCCAACTCTGACTCCAAGCATATTTTTTAGTCATGCTCAAAAAGTTCATGCCTGAGATATTTTCATCCTGCCTGGAATGATCTGGGCTTAACCTTTGCCTAAAAAGTGTTGTCATTGTATGGTCAGCAAACATTTTTAATGAGCAATTGATCTCAGAACTATCAGATCTCAGAGCTGAGCAGTTGATCTCAGAGCTGCTGTGCAAAGGCAAAAACCATCACACGGGGTCAGACTCACTCACAGTCACAGTGACAGAGGTTATAAGTTATTACATCACAAGGCCAGAGCCCTGAGGTCACCCTGACCCAAATGCAATCATTTTTGCCTTAACACGGCATAGAAGAAATGTCACACCCGTACCACAGGAACAAAAGGGGCCGAAGGACTGAGCATTAAGAGACCTCACTCCTGACAGCACCTAAGACACCTGCTATAAGATTACCGCCTATTCCGAACTCTAAGTGGCCTCTTTATAAATTTATCATTGCTGTACCAGGATAATTCAAATCCTGGAAAATTACATGGTGCAAGGGTTTATGTTTTAGTTGTTCACCATAATTTAGACATCTGCAAGACATGTTTTAGACTATATTATTGCACGTGCACAATTTAAAATGAATTACAGCTCATGTGACGCGACAGTGACATTTGAGGTATTGACACCAAACAGGTGCATAAGTCAAAGACTACGCTAACAAATCGCCTAAACCTTTCCACAACACTTACCCTGCCTTCTTCTCATCCAAAAAATGGCACGTTCTTGCAGTCTACATCAATACTTCACAGGAATACACGATCTTCTTATCACCTTGGTTCCAAAGCCACGTAGCCGTGCACGTAGCTGGCCGTTTGTCCTATTGTAATTTGGCATATAGTTGGCGTGAACAACTTATTGGGCCTAAACGCGGATTATGCCAAGATAATTGTATAAGTCGCCAAATTGATGCCAAGCTTACGCCAAGGTGAGGTTTTCTCCCGAGGTCCGTGAAGCTGACATTGGATTCGTTTTTAAAGTTATGTCCATAAAACCACAGTTATAAACCAAGATTCCTATAGTTACATGAAACATGACTACGGTAGATACGTTTTCTAATCTAAATTAGCTTGGAATTTGAAATTTGATCTAGAAGGAACGGGAACAAAATAGGAAACTTAAGTCGTCCTTATTAGAACCGGATGGTCGGGTTGAGTGCAGGGAGTTGGGAGTTTGGGACTTGGGATGAGGGACTGGGACGTCCATCGGGACCGGTGGTCGATGGAACGCGGACTGCGTTTTTCGTCGCCATGGCGAAATTTTGCATTTGCTCTTGAATGCTGAGATGAGATAGGAGCGCGAAATTTTCAGTGCCCTCTTTTTCAGGATTTGCCGTTTGCTTAATTTTCCAAAAATAAAAAAGAAACTGTTGACAAATTACAGGTTTATTTACACTTAACATAAATAACACGGTCAGTCGGCCCCTGTGTTTTTGGTATCGAATCGATACTCACGCCCACGGACACACGTCACATAAACCGACAGGCAACGTCACACACACACATAGGTAGGTATATGTACACTCAGACGGCATCAAAACAAGGCGACAGCCGACAACCAAGAGGCTTGCCTGAGCCTCTCAACAATGCCTACTGTGATGAAGCTCAGACAGGTGGATTGACACATCAACCATCATTGTCATCGTCGTCATAAAAAATGAGCCATGATTGTCAATTTCCGTCCGCCTAAGATCTCATGGCTTTGTCATTGTCGTTAAAGTTCATATTCATAAAGCGATGTACGTACCTAGAACTTGTTTTCTTCGCCATGATAATTTTTCCTCAACAATAGGCGTTTGTTGAGGAAACAACAAAAAAAATGTCTTTAAACGATACTTAGGTTCGTGTTAGTAGTGATAAATGTTATATTTTCAGGCCTCAGCACCCATGCAGTTTTTTAATCCGATGGACATCGAGCTAAAGCATGGTAAATCCCGAGACGATTCGATAAATATTTATCATTATTTGTGCTGAGTGCATCTGGCTGTCCGAGGCCAAGGTCCCGACATGGTGTCCCTTGTTTGTTTGTTTTTGTTTTGTTGGGTTAGGCCCTTTCGGTCGACAAGACCATTGCAGAGCCGGAAGGATGATAGGAATTAGGGGGAGACATTGGTCTGGGCAGGCACCCTAGTGAGTCGCCGGGGCTGAGCCTGTCCAGAGGACAGGCCATCCAGCCCCAAGGCACTCACTGCACCCGGCTACGGGGTGCGCTCCCTCGGGAGCAGCGGTGCCGCTCCAAGGGAGCAGCCCGCATGAGATAAAGTTGCCTGTCCAGCCCGGAGGGGGATTGCGGCTTGGAGGAGAAGGATTTCAGTATCCTGAAGATAGAAGCACGGATAGGTGATGGTGTCCCTCCTCGAGGACTACATAAATATCCACTTCCATTGAAACATCCACACATTGATCGTCTCTGGCATTGCACACATAAATAACCGCCACACATTTGTTCGTACGTAAGAGCATACAGCACATTATTTACAATTGGCGTTCCACAATGACGTCTCATCTTGACACCAACAAAGCACATGACCTCTCGGTCATCTACATGCAGCCTGGCCCTTTATCCGCCTCCATCTCAAACTGAGGACTTTTCGTGAGTGCTGCAGGCAGGACTCAGACTCGCACAGAGCCGCTCAGGGCAGTCCGCTCCGGCACTGTCTGTGTCGTAGCGCCATCTGGCTGAAGGTGAGTTTCCGTTTGCGGCCCCGAGGTGGCAGCACCATAGTTCCGTAGGCCGTCGCCTCGTTGAACGATGGATCTGTCAACAAGCACCAGGACGTCGATCACCCACATGTTTTCCTGCATACTTCAGAAAGTTCGTACATATGTGAGCGTGAAAAACATGTTGATATCGCTGGCATTCACAGGCAAACTATGAATATCTTTATCCACACCTGCTTACGTACAAACCTATTTACATTTTTTATCAGGCCAACGTCTGAGGCTGCTTACAGACTTGGCTAACACTAGAGGTGGCAAAAGATGAAAATTTTGGGAACCAGACTCGAACCAGACCCGGCTGGACATTTCTGGAACCAGTCAGACCCGGTCTTAGTTGGAACCGGAACCAGTTGGACCCGTTCCCCAAAAGTCAATTAATACAAACTTCTTGTAGGAATCATTAGTTGCATCATGTAGAACAGCCTGTTTCCCACTGGGAATACTCATGAGCTACTGTGTGCAAAAAAAAAAACATTCACTTCATATTTTGCAATAATGTGTAGTGTGCAAGATGTATAGTTTATGGTAGGACCCGGTTGGACCCGTCAGAAAATTTCCAGGAACCGGTCTGGACCCATATGGGTCCAGACTGGTTCTTTGGACCGGGTCCTCGGGTCCACATTTTGCCACCTCTAGCTAACACATAAAACGGTTCGGATTACTGGAACTCATAATAAATTAATGCATACAGAACAAATCGTACCTACACAGCAATCGATGCGAACGTGCTGCCTCTATGTTATCATCCACTTATACTTATGTAGCGCTTTCGCCGTATCAGACTAATGCTAGCTTTTCCGACAAACATGTCCCAATAAAACTTTAAAAGGTTGTAACGCTAGTTCAAGTGATTTCGCAGCCGACAGACAAACAAAACGCAGAATCTTTAAAGCTAGAACCTCGCTAAAGGACCTCGCTAGAGCCTTCTGTCCTCTCCTGTATACCTATTTCTGAACGCTTGGGGATAATTGCTTGAAACTTTTCGAAAGCACCTAATCCATAATAAAAAAGGAAATCGTAAGACAGATTTATGCATTGGATAATGGAAGAATTAGACGACCTACTATAGTCGGAGACTGGACAGTCTCTCACCGTGTTTGGATGGACAGTTTCTCACCGTGTCTCATCGCGTCTGTGTGAGCGCACAGCCTCTCACCGTGTCTGTGTGTCCGCACAGCCTCTCACCGTGTCTCACCGTGTCTGTGTGCGCACAGTCTCACCGTGTCTGTGTGCGCACAGTCTCACCGTGTCTGTGTGTGCGCACAGTCTCTCACCGTGTCTGTATGTGCGCGGACAGTCTCTCACCGTGTCTGTGTGTCCGCACAGCCTCTCACCGTGTCTGTGTGTGTCACCGAGTGTCTGTGTCTCACCGCGTCTGTATGTGTGTCTGTGTGTCTGTGTCTCACCGCGTCTGTATGTGTGTCACCGAGTGTCTGTGTCCCACCTGTGCGCACAGCCTCTCACCGTGTCTGCGTGTGCGCACAATCTCTCACCGCGTCTGCGTGTGCGCACAGTCTCTCACCGTGTCTGCGTGTGCGCGCTGCGGGAGCGCGAGTCGGACATTGTGGTGAAGTCGGTGCCGTAACGGAACGTCGACGTCGTAACCGACGGCCGACTGGGCGCCCATCGACGGCAGCAGGGCAGTCGCTTCACCAGCCACTCCACCGCCGACAGACGCCTGCGGGGGAAATGGTCAATTGGTTATACGGTCACTGGGGCTTGTAAAGAAGCCGCCAACGCCTCCACCGGCTCGCGTAGGCATATTGAAATCCAGTACGAATGAAACATGGGTCTAGTGAAAAATGATTGAAATGGCTAGGGCTAGCTTTGGATAGATTAGGTAAGGTAAGGTAAGTGCGGACAGCTTTCATCACAAGGGGCATCATAAGCGCTTATTTTATGGTAAGGCAAGGTTCCAGAAGGGAGTGGTGGGGCTGGACAAGGGGTCAGTGATAACACAGACCGCCGATGTGGTGCACCAGCTGGGTAAATACGGCAGACCACCTGGGTAGTAAGAAGCAGGGCTGCGGAGTCGGAGTCGGAGTCGGAGTCGGAGTCGGTCGGAGTCGACAGTTGTGACCGGAGTCGGAGTCGGAGTCGGAGTCGATTTTAGAAACCCGAGCCGGAGTCGGAGTCGGAGTCACCGAAAATATGTCGACTCCGCAGCCCTGCTAGGTCTGCGGAGTCGGAGTCGGGAGTTGGAGTCGGTCGGAGTCGACAATTCTGCCCGGAGTCGGAGTCGGAGTCGGAGCTGGTTTTTGAAAGCCGGAGTCGGAGTCGGAGTCGGAGTCGCCGAAAATCCATCGACTCCGCAGCCCTGGTAAGAAGGTAGTAACGTAAGGACCACATGGTAACTACCATACGGATTGCCGTCCAGTAGGTATCCGCCGGCGACCCAACGCCTCAGATTAACTTTCTATGTAGCTGGCGAATATCCGGCCAGCACATGCATATTGGTACATTTCCTATATCGGCACGTTTCAAATAACACCAAAGCAGCGCTTGACCAAGGCGACTCAGCCCAGTACAAACAGTGTAGGACATGCGGGCGTATGGTCAGTTTGCGGACGAAACCAGTTGCCACAGTTGTGTGGCTTGGCGCTGGTTTTCTGAGAACAGCGTCCGACTTTGATACCAATCGTCACGCATTGAATGGAGGCTTTACAGACTAACGTAAGGCAAGTCAATTGCATAATCAACCGGTCGTGGGTCCCACCGTCGGTAGAAATCCCACCATATCCCACCGTCTGATGTGTCCCACTCTCCCACCGTGTTTGGGACAGTGCGGCGGTCTCTTGAGGGACTGAGGTCCCACCGTGACCCCCACAGTCAGGTTCTGCGACACCTGAGCGAGCGTCATTTCAGCGAACGACATTTGAGCGAAGCCTTTTCAGCGATTATCAATTTAAGCGATTGACTTTTTCAGCGATTGTCAAGTCGGCGAATTCAATCACAGCGATTATCAACTTAAGCGAGGACCAGAATCAGCGAAACCAGATTGAGCGAATATATGGAGGTCAATGGGGGACCAATTGAGCGAACACAGTTACAGCGAAACCGAACGCGACGGAAGTCAATCATTTGCTACTTTTCGGGAAGTCTTGCCCTTGGAATACTCGCTTGGTATGTGTCATGCTTCAAGCTGCGCGCGGCAAATTAAAAATTTGCTTTTTAAGCTTGGAAACCACAAAAATATCTGGCCTCATTCTGCAACCTTGATCTGGAAATGTGGAACGTGAGAGATAGGACGATGGAAGGAATGCCAAGGACCAATTATAAACTCGAGTGATGGCACAGGGGGATCCAGTCTATGTTTCAGGGACCTCACCCAAATATCTGAAAATTCGTACGTTGCTTAGGGCAAGAACAAATTTTACAACATGGGGAACTGATCCAAACTCAAGCGGGGGAATTTCGCTAAAAACAGCACAAGCAATATGAATCTCTGAACAAACGTTTGGTCATCATTATTGATTGGCAAACAGCAGGGGGGGGGGGTGAAATCGAACCACTGAAATTTTTGAGAAATGTGGCATTAAATTTGGAGCTTAATGTCTGAACTTTGCACGTGACATCCGCCATCCAGTTCCGGATAACCATGAAAAGTTCGGGAAAAATTCGTTGTACGTACGCTCGCAAAAGAAAAAAAGAAAAAATTTACACCGTTACGGGACGATGAAGTGTTTCGCTGAAATGACAGTCGCTCAAACTGTAGTCGACGAAATAGATGTCGCTGAAACATAGCTTTCGCCTAAATTGATAATCGCTATATTTGATAATCGCTCAATTCGATATTCGCTAAGTTGCCAGTCGCTGAAAATGGTTCGCTCAAATGACGTTCGCTCAAATGACACTCGCTAAAGTCGCTCGCACCGCCACAGTCAGGGTGCCACTGAGCTGGCGGCACCAGCTGAACCGACGACCTCATCCAATCCCCACCAGTGACACTTTATTCCCAGAAAACGACCGAAAAGCCAGCGTCGAGTGCAGTTTAACGAGAGGGCGCATGGATTAGCATTGGAAATGAACCATCTCGCATATCTCGGACGCAAAGCATGTCTCGTGAATTATACTATTTTGTGTTTTCTGGGAAGCCATGGGCGAGTTAAAACGAAAACTGAACGTAAACTATTTCTGAGCTACTGGTAGTGTGACGTAAAACATTTATGGATAACCGCATATTAACCCACGCCCCACGGGCTATTTATAGCCCCCTCCCGTTTTTCTGCAATAACTTCCAAACCGCTTGACGGATCGACGCCAAACTTTCAGTACCTTCGGCTGCATCAATTTGACACCTTGTGTCAAAATTTGAACTTGGTAGCTACCATAGGTCGGCCGGAAATGACGTCAGAGTGACGTCATGTTCGTCCGATTTCGACGCAAAACATTGAGCCACGGCAATCGCTCCCAAGAGCTCAGTTTTTAAGCTAGATCCAATTTCTTTGCATGAAAGGACTCAGAATTGACCGTGCTATCAAACTGCTATCTCGGATTTTCAAAATTTTGAAAGTTTCGAAAATTTTATATAATAATATTCAAAATTTATATTTTTATATTTTTTTCAATTTTTTTTAACTTTTCGAAAAAACCGGAATATATGTGACACAACGCATGATTATGACTAACTCTAGCCAGTTTTAGCTAAATATCTTCAAAAATGGCCAAGTTATACCTACGCATTATTGCAAAAAAATCACAATTATTAATTTTTCAAATCAATTTTTCAGTACGTATTTGACATCGAACACCAATAAAAATGGCACCATCGTGTTCCTGAGCTCAAACTCCATCCAATAGACACCTTTTTTGTTGAAAAATTTTACCTTCAAAATTTGACCTTTTTTTACCTGAAAGTGACCTGACCTAAGCTGAATTCGACTCAAAATGACCTCGAATGAGACAGACGACATCAAATTCGAAATCTATGGCCTAAATGGACCATAAAACATGTGTCACGTGACCGACGCATGGTATAATATTTTCGTGACCTGTGATGACCTGACCCTGACCTGAAAATCAAAGTACAAGTTTGGTACCCTCAAGGTATCTAGAGCATCTGTTCACGAGTGTGGATACCAAAAATGAGCCTGATCTGACTTGTAAGACGGCGGCCAGAGCCCAAAATGTGCACAAGCCAAAATGCTAATAATTTTTACTTTGACCTGACCTGTGACGTCATCGGTGACCTCGAGGTCAATGAAATTAGGTTTCGCTCGACAGTTTTTCCGGGGCTATCAGACGCTGTTTGAATTTTGACGATCGGCCCAGTAGTTTCGGAGTTAGGAGGGGGGCTATGAATAGCCCCCCCCCCCCCCCAGTAGGGCGTGTTATACACAGACCCCAGTGGGGCGCGGGTTAACCCTCGCGGGCCCGGGGGGGGCGTTTTTCGCCCCCCCCCCTGGCGAATATTTGCGATAGCTCCCGAACGCTTAGAGATAGGAAAGCGAAACTTTCAGTACCTTTTCTCCCATCAATTTGACATCTTCTGAAGTAAAAAATTTGGACCTAGCCCCCTTGATGACGTCACAAGGTCCATTTTTCTAGACCCCTGCACGGCAAACTTCGGCGTCACAGACGCAAACTTCAAATAGCTGCTAAAAATAGAGTTTTAGAGATAAAGACAAATTACGAGCACGGTTGTGTAGCGTTTGACCTAGAGAAAAATAGAAAAATAGTTTTGGTGACCTGAGGTCAGAGGTCAGGTCAACGACCCCGAAATGTGGTTTTAGTTTTTCGCAAATAACTTCGACAAAAATGGTCCTAGAGCTACGGCAGTGGTACCATCGCATTCGCCTTGTCAAGCCGCGTCGAATGATATATATTTTGTTCGGAAAAGGTCAAGTTTTATGTTGACCTCATGTGACCTCGAATGACCTCTGGTTGACCTTGACACATGAAAGGTCGTTTATGATGGATTTGTACCCGCTGATCACGAATCTGGCATCTATTTTCCTCTAAGCCTTCATTTAGAGCTTCCGCATGGCAAAATTGTCTTATTTATTATTACTAACTTGAATCAGTGAAATAGCCTCTAGCAGGGATACTCTTCAGTGACCTTGACCTTTGAGCAGCCTTGTATCGTAAGATGAACCACAAATAGGGAAGTGATAAGCCTCAAAACATTTCAAAACATCTTGGAAGTTAGCACGCAAGATGTACGAAAAAGTGCCAAGTTTGAGGTCAATTTTGAGCGTGACCTTGACCTTGACCTTCCACTTTGAGCAAATTTTCAGAATCCTCAGATTCTCTTCTTTCGTTTGACACCCAATTTTGCCGGTTTGATGCCGCCTGCCGTCTTCTAGAAGGCTTACTTTGAGATCACTACATATGTGCCGGTTTTTGCCTTTGACCTTGACCTCTGACCATGAAAATTGACCTGAGGTCAAAAATTTTAGGTGCTTTAGAATCGTCTCGTAAGGACCTTTCGTTTGGTATCACTTTTGTTTCCGTAGCTCCCTTATTTACGGAGTTAGACAGGGGGGGGCGAAAACGCCCCCCCCCCGGGCTGCGGTGGTTGGGATTACCCCCCGGGCCCGGCCTGGGCCCTGTTCGGGCAGCGCATCCTATTGCAAAATTTTGCACCACGCATGCGCAGTTGGGGTCTCTCGGGTGCCAAGCCCCGCCCTTCGGCGTATGACGTCACACGTGTGACGTAGGCTCGCGCAAAATCTTTCAGTTTTGCGCAAGAAGAAAATAGTAGCTGCAGGAGGCGAAAGTGGCGCGGATTAAAGTTTGCCCTCATATATTTCTTATTGTAAGTGGTTAGTGTGGTGTTGTTTTGGTATCACTATCTTTCTTTTCAGTGGCACATTGCTATTAACCACATTTGAACGCATTTTACTCAGTAATTGAACGAAACACACCAGTCCATCCGCGCCACGGTTCGCCGCGTGTCGCGTGGCCCTCGGCTTTGCGGGCCGGCGGAGAGGGGGCGGAGCATGGGCGGAGCCAGGCGGCTGACATCATCGCATGTGTGACTTCACACTCGGCAAAATATTTTGCGCGGACCCGAACAGGGCCCGGGTTAAGACTGACTCATTCACAATAAATTGTTTTTTATCGCATGAAAATTAGCAGATTTGGACCGTAAGAGCGCTTACGCTGCAGTTCCCATTTACCAACAGACCTATCAATGTAGCAAATAATTTACATAAACTCTCTCTCTCTCTCTCTCTCTCTCTCTCTCTCTCTCTCTCTCTCTCTCTCTCTCTCTCTCTCTCTCTCTCTCTCTCTCTCTCTCTCTCTCTCTCTCTCTCTCTCTCTCTCTCTCTCTCTCTCTCTCTCTCTCTCTCTCTCTCTCTCTCTCTCTCTCTCTCTCTCTTTCTCTCTCTCTCTCTTTCTCTCTCTCTCTCTCTCTCTCTCTCTCTCTCTCTCTCTCTCTCTCTCTCTCTCTCTCTCTCTCTCTCTCTCTCTCTCTCTCTCTCTCTCTCTCTCCCTTACCTGAGGTTTCTGCAGACGTTGTTGGAGAAAATGATGTAGATGATGGGGTTGGCGGCCGAGTTGAGGGGTGCCAGACTCTGGATGAAGGTGGCCACCGCGATGGTGGTTTGTGTGCGCGGCAGGTGCCCGAACACTTGCAGCAAGTCGAACACGAAGTACGGACTCCAGCATAAGATGAACACTGTAAGCATATGAGAGCAGAGTTCACTGGGTTAACTCTGATAAGTGATAGATACTTTATGTCCGGGCAGCACCCAAGCGACCATTGTTTCCAGCATGCCGTGCCAGTCAGTCGGTAGGGATCACCGGATGTCAGGCAGGCTTGGAGCCTGATTATACGTTGTTATTAGCGTTTTTCCATGCCCCGTGTAACAGAGAACACAGCTCGAAGCGTTACGGCCGACAGCCACGGATGGCACACAGCCCAGTTGCTGAATATGGCATCCAATAATGTACTCTGCGTCTCAGATTACGTGATCGCAGCTTCAGTTCATCTGACCTATATAATTAAACATCACACGAATCGTAATACTAAACGCAAAGCAGAAATGCTGTGTGATGCGAGTGTGACATCCATACAAGACATCAACATTAAACAGCTCATTTCGGTATAGGTATGCACCGAGCATTGACTTAATGCACGAAACATACCTAAGTATTATGAATCATGTTTATATAGTTCATGAATCATAGATTCATGTGATGCATGACAAGAAACATTCCTAAAACGACAACTTGAGGTAGGGTCCGGCTTCTTGACGTTGATTTGTCCCAGTCTGAATGTCAAATAACATTTACAACTATATCGGATGCATATGCCGGATGACTAGTTGAAGAAACCAAGGTAGTGCCAGCAGCACATTGTGTATTTCCCTTACATGCATATGCCGGATGGCTAGTTGAAGAAACCAAGGTAGTGCCAGCAGCACATTATTTGACCCAAGTCTCCAGTTGTATTTCCCTTAAAAACATAGCGATGGGGATTTTTTTTGACGCAACGCATCTCTGAAATGAGTTGACGATTTTCAAATGAAGATTAGGACGAATACTAAAATACCAATCCAAAATGCTCCGCGCGCCTACCTAAGAGATCATTCACTCCATTTAATTTGTGCGCGCATTATTGTGCCTCACTGATCGCATGTTACGCATCATAAGCTCCTGTCTGAGCGAGCAATCGTCGAGTCAGTTTGGCTCAAGAGCCACTATCCTACAAACCATGTCATTAGTGTACAGATAAGTACACATACGTATCTGGTTTGATGTAGCTCACGTGCCTAATGGGTTGCTCGGCAGACTGATGAGCCGGAACAAATCATCGCGATTTGGGAGATACAGAATGGTGACGTCAAAACAGCATACCCACTCACCTGAATATAGCACATGTAACTATGTTCTTATGCACTTGTCAACCGGAGAAGCCAACAAGTTACTAGTCGCAGAATCAGCTCCGATCGCTCAAGGAGTAAGGACTGATGAGTCGTGAAATCCACTACTTACATAATACGACTGATCCATCTGGTTGAATTGTTACCCATTCAGAGACAACGCCATCCCGCCCCACTGACTCCTTTTGGCGAGCCCTGATCCCGAGGACAGTCGGACTCACCGAATACAATGACAAACGTCATCTTGACTGTCTTTATTTTCGCCTTTGGTATCAGACCGCGAGAACTGGCCCGACGAAGGTCGCAGTCCTCGGCTCTCTTCCCTGCAGCTGTGTTGGTCGCGCGGGCGAACCGGTGGTCTGCGGAAAACAGGTCAGGTCAGGTCGTTCAGGTCAGGTCAGATTGGTACTCATCGGGTGGGGTTGGATCGTTTTTGTTTGCCTGATGGTCCACTGCTGCACGTTTAGCACGAATAAACGTGACCTGTGCATCATGCAAATGCACACCGTCTAGACGCATGGTCGCTGCTGCTATTTGCAGCCGTCAGCCAGCACGCCCATTCCGAGTAGTTGCCTTTTACCGTGCTTGTATCGACTCGAGATAAAGGGTTACGCTGCTGGAAACCGGTGACGGTCATGTCAGCCATCGGGCTGGACAAGCGCCTGCAGTTCGGTACAAGGTGCGCGGCGCCTCCCGCCTGCATATCGTCCTTCTGTTTGGTGTGGGGCACCGCCTGCCGACCTGTGTGCCAGTTCCATGGCAAATGAGACCGTGTCGGGCCGGCGACGAATACTACATGCCTGTGACCCGCGCTTCTAGCCAGTGGCCAGAGCACCCTGTTCAGCGCATGAACATACCAGCTGTCCGATCATGGATCAATGCTTCTGACTATACAAATTGCTGACCATAGCCGCTTCTGACTGACTATTTCTGCCTCTGCCCATATATTTATTTAGCATCCAGCGCACACAAGTTAGCAATGGTGCGCTTATGAGTTATGTGAGAACTCATAGCGCAAACCATGGTCTGGAATATTGTTGAAAAGGCTGGGGGCTGAGGCGGGCCGTTGCAAGCAGTGTCAGCGCATTCTATTCTGTTCCTTCACGCCAGTGTAACATTTCTCATCATTCATGGAATGGATGTCAAAGTAAAAGGGCACACAAAACTGAATAAACTGAATAAACGTCACATCTCGCTGAAACAGTGATTTCAGGCCTTTGCAAATCGCAGCTCAGCTTCCGACTAAAGGAGATCGGCGCCATAAATTCTGAAGCAGTGTGATATCATTCAGATGCTTCTGATGACTTCGATGAGACACTAAAACTGCTGGTGACCGTTCATGACCTGAGATGACCTCAAGGGCATACAGAGGGGTCAAAGGTGCATTTTGCCGATTCAGTGTGTCATGTTACCTATGAACCGATGCTTGAGAGCGTTTTCAACGACATTCGCACAAAAGAGGCGCATTTCAGTTTTCTCCCATTGACGTATACCTAGGTAACCCGCGTCCTGTTGGGGTCGAAGTCAACACACCCATGAGTCAAAACAAAGACGTTCAGGTTCCTGAAAATCGTTGTGTGGTGAAAGGGGTTTCCAACCATCCAACAATATCAACATAAACATCGTTAATATGATGAAGAAATGTCATGAAACGAAATCTGCCACCCCTGCTGAGCATAAATTACAAGATGGCATTCCTCAGTCTAATCAACTGGGCATTACGATAGCTTTGAAGCTCAACAGCCACATGACCCAAAACTTTAAAAGGGAAAACAAGATGCTGACTTTAAACTGATGAATAAAAGGTTGAGAAACGATACTTTCATTATTACGCGAGGGCGAAATTATTTGCTAGGCAGGACAGATGCAACTCGAGCGCTCAAGCTTGGTAAGCATGACTCCTAGACATCATCTGTAGACTGTAAAACAACTCACAATATCCAAGTCGGCGGTTAGGTACTTGAGGCAAGCGTTTCTCGCACCAAAGCGCTGACACTCACGATCCCACCCCTTGGCCGTAAGACAACTCACTTTCGAGGTCGGTGGTCATTTTGAGCATGCGCCCCTTGCTCCAGAGTGTGCAGAGGATGACCGAGTAGCAGCAGATGATGATGACCGCCGGAATGATGAAGAGTACCACGCTGATGAGTACCATGTACAGCTGCCACTCGAACGAGTTTGGCTCGCCCAGGTCGATCCAGCACTGGGTCATCTGGTGTTCTGTCGGGAGGAGAGGGAGAGGTCAGAGTCGATTGCGCTATGTCGGAGGGAGGAGGGGGACACTGAGTCGCTCGTTCATACATAAGCTGCTACTGGGCTCAGCGGTTTATTGTTGACTCACAACAGGGGTGAAAAATTGTATCGTTTTGTCGTTGTCGACGACAACCGAGGAGACGATCTTATGGCGACCACGCGCAGCGCCTGAACTGATTAACTCCTTCCGCTTAGTGCGGTTAGAAGCGCACAATCCATCCGCCTCTGCCCACGCAACCCAATCACCTCTGCCCACGCAAACCATTCTCTGTCCCTCCCCATCACATCGACTCGCAGTTCTCGAGTCCGTTACCTCCCGTACGCGGCGGCATCCCAGTGGAAAATTTCCTGGTAGCTACAGACATATTCCAGCTCCCCATAGCTATTTAGTATATACTGCGTCGTTCGACCATCGTTCGGACGGCCGATCGGTGACCCTCATAAAGACGACCAATGGCATACCAAGTGGTCGCCGTGGTTGTCCGCTGGCAACACGTGTCTGGCAAATCTAGTACATTCCAGGACTCGGCCGCACCCTTCAGCGCCGCCCCCGGCCGGCGGCCAGTTAGCGTCCCCTCCAATCCGCCGGGGCTCCTTTTGTGACGTCAAAACCCACCCCGGTGGCGCCTGGGGGTAGGTCCGCGGCGGGACATCTTGAGTGGGATCGGGTCAGTGCCGGTAATGTTTTGATGAGGCCGAGGGGAGGGCACGCCATGACATGCCCACGGGGATATGGTGTCTCGGGACTTCCAAGGTCGAGGAACACGGATCGTCGGACAATTGAGCCTGACGGCTGCTGCGCTATCAAAAAGGAGCGGAATTATAATATATTCGCACGCAGGGTCCGTGGCGTCTGCACGACTGAAGTGTACCAACTTGAGCACGTTTTGTTCAAAGGTGAGTGGAAGTCGACCAGTGGCACCGTCGAAGGGTCACCGAAAGGGTCCAAAGGGCAGTATCTATTCTTTTCCGCGGCGCTGTACAGCCCTATATAATTGGTTCCCGAGTTGTGCGCGGGTTTTGAAAAAATATTGAAAGGCAATATCTTTCATTTAATGACCTCTGGTGACCTGACCTTTGACTTAGCCTACAAAACGAATGTCATATTTTCGCCCTTATTTTTGGACGTTCTTTCGAATGCCGTTTCCTGCTTGTCACTTCGTGACCCAGGATCCGAGTTAAAAGGGCGGGGTGTTTGTCGTTTGACCGCCCCCCCCCCCCCCCCCCTCCTGAGCAGGGCGTGGAAATCAAGGACCCTCAGCGGGGCGCGGGTTAGACATCTTGAGTTGACAACCAAATAAGCCCGTTTTTCTTTGGACGACAACCACCGAAACACTTTTTCCAGCCCTGACTCACAAATGCACAGAATTTTCCATAAAATGTTGGCTAGTCCAGAATTGGAGGATCAAAAGCATGCGATAGCATGCTTTTGCATCCGGAAATTCCCATTGGTGGGTCGCTGAAAAAAAGTTCGGCTGAACGCTGAACCTGTTTGTCAGTGAGTGAGTATGTGAGTGAGTTTGTCCAAGCTTTTTTGGACCTGGAGTCAAAATGGGTGGACCGATCGGGACGAAAGTGGGACCGTTTGATTCGTCTCCGGCGAGGTAAACTTTTGGTGCTGGCCTCGATTCGCTCGGTGCCTCGTGACACATGCTATTCCGCTTCAAAGTTTCGGTGACACGAAATTTTTTGTCAAGGCTACAGGTCAACCCGAGGTCACGGGCAAAGCCATACTGGCGGGACACATCGGTAACACCTTGAACCAGTTTCCAGGGGGGTCACCGTCTGCGAGGGGTGCAGGCTGCACGTGCTGGGGTCGGAAAACCGTTTTGACGTGAGGTCCTCTGGCTCAAAGAAATTTTAAGCTATCAACCTCAAAATCGGTTCAATGGTAGTCCCAGGCAAGGCCTCCAAAATAATGCACATTTGGTTGAGCTAAACTCTGTGGTGCATGAGCTATGCACGTGCAAGCCGATTGCACCCCTTCGTACGTTGCCACGCCTGCAGGGTAAACGGCAGCTCTAACTGGTTCAAAACTTGCAGGTCATAAGAAGAATACATTTGATCACGACATTCCGGCGAGATAATATCCGAGGGGTGCAAGCTGCGCGTGCGGGGGGCGGATAACGGTTTTGACGAGGGATCCTCTGATCCCGGGAAACGTCGATCTAGCGACACAAAAGTCGGTCTTTAATGAAGTCGCTGGGCTATGGATCCTCCAATTCTGGCCCAAGGCAACGCACGAGCGCTGCCGGCATCTAGTCTATACCCATGCACGTGGGTTCACCCACAGTGTATATAAATAGGTTCACCAAGGCACTGTTGACTCCATCCTATGATACTGTTGACTTATCCACACACTGTGCGCTCACACCGGCTCACACATACAACATAGGCTCACCTGCGAACCACGTTGTGTCGAACAGAACCAGCATTGGCGAGGCAAACAGGGCACTCACGGTCCACGCCCCCACGACTAGCATTCGAGCTCGGCGCCCTGGAAAACAGGGACGGTCACAACAGTCGGTCAACATGTCACCACAGTTACACACCGGGTTCGTGGCCAATGACAGCCCTGGAATACACTTTGTAGATCAATCGTTTCTACATTTCAATTGGAATTTACATGGATTCCGCATGTGAATTAAGTTTCCATCGGGTTAGTGCTTGGTTGTCAGGCATGAGATAAGTGTTCAACCAAGAGTAAAAAAAATCATAATTACAAGCAGAGATAACAAAATCATGGAACGGAAGCCATAGAACCAATGAACAAATAAATAAATATATAAGGTTACCTCTATTTTAAAAATTTTAGACCTCCAAATAAGGTCACCTCTACAAATAAATAAATAAATAAGGTCACGTCTGTTTTTTCGTGGGTGGGCGCACTGGTTCTAACTCTATATCCCTCCAACGCAATGGAGGTGAGAAGAAGGAGAGACACATCTGGCCCAGACGGTCGCTGGTTGGAAGCACCGCAGTGCAAGTGGCTCAGTCAGTCCAGAGGGACGGCCTCCGAGCCTGGCTAGTCACTAACGGTCGTCCCGGCGGGAGTTTCATGCGATTGGAGATGCTCCGTTTCAGTGCTGGTTATTTTTACCAGATATGTAGGTAATGTTATATAGGTATTCAGAGCGGGTAACAGTAAGTCTATAGAAAGATGGAGAAGGGAAGGAGGAGTGCAAAATGCGTGACCGTCCTGATGTTATAAAAGACGGATGAAAAAGAGATGATCTGTTTCGTCACGGCTAGCTTCGAAATCTTCGCTTGGAAGAACTGTGCATACGGGAGAGACATTGATCGCTCTCCCAACAAACGAATTGGATGCAAGCTTTAGTGTGTAGTGGGCATGGTGTTATTTAAAAAAAACACACACACATAAAAAGATCGGCATATCAAACATAATTTTTAGCAATGACTGACACCGTGGAGAGAATCGCAACTTAATCTGCAGCAGCGATTAAATGCGCATTGCACGTATGCAGATACAACATGCCAGCAGCCAAACGGCAAAGGCTATAACCAACAAACGGACTGGAAATGTCTGTAGATTAAGCGGGCGATATTTCGAAGATAGCCTGCCAAACCAGCGCTGTAATAGAAACAGATCGCTGAAGTTACTGACATTCTGACGCACTGAGAGTCGAAACTAGCAGTGGCTCGCCTTCCGAGTTATTGCCTTTAGTAAACTAGATCAATGCAGAGACGACACCAACTCTGCCATATATATAGTACTGCGCCTCGTCCATAACTCCCAGACATACAAATATTGCACAGTTGCAACTTTCGCCGACATTCCATGCAAGTTTTCAGACCTTCCAAAACTTGTACGGACACTGTCCGTAATGTCTGCGGTGGTGGAGATGCCCGCGAATGCACCCTTGGTGTGCGCAGTATAGTCGATTTGAAGGCAGCCAAATTTCAATAGGTACCGATTGTATATTATTTTGGCTCCCACTCCCATTTCCTGAATTAAAGAACAATCAATGTCCTTCTATATACCCCTCATAAAATGTGCGCATTACACTGCTTTTCAACGTTTCGGTAAAATTATGCATAATGTACTCGAATTCAAATCACCATCTATGCTCGAATTTGTGATCAATGGGGCAGATATTTACCGTGTCTGCCACTGTCTAGCCTTCTATGGCTGAAGGTAACTATAGACTCAAGCATGTAGCTGGATGACAAATGTGTTTCTTGAGACATAGGCTCAATAAAATCCGTTTGTAACGGTTCGCAAACGTTACATTGTCACTGGCAAACATATTGCCATACCTGTTTACGTCGTGAAAGTTAAATTTTTGCAGGCACACTTACCCCCGCTGGTCCCCGAGGCCTCACTTCTTACGAATCCTCGACTCTTTCGGGTACCATAGTACCTACTTTTTAATAAAAAAAGTTAATATCGCTATGGGGATGCACAACACCTCTATAATATGCCACTGCAAGACTTTCCCATTTTTTTTTTACAAGCTCACAAACCATGTGCGTTGTGTACGCATTTCCTAGAAACATCGACGTAAACATGGTTTTAATTGTTGCTGAAGGGTAAAAAGTCACACTGGACCAATGCAGGCCGCGAGCTTTTCCAATTTAGAACCGTGTTGCTAGTTGCTACGGATTGTTCAGTGTGCGTGGGACTTGGCGTAGTAACTATTAATAACTATGCATATGAACAACATATATCGTGTTGCCAGGAAACACTCACTGGTGTCGAATGAGTACTAATAGCTGCTCATAAAGCACTCACTACTCAGTTGCCGATAGATACCACCAGCCGCCAATACAGAATAATTGGCAGCTGCCTAAGAAGCATTCACAGCTCTGCTGCCTAGTACTCAGAGATGATTATAGAACGCTCACAGTGGCTAATGTGAGCACTCAAAAATATTGCCGCCGATAGAGTACTTACACCAGCTGAAAGAGTATTCGTACTGCCTCAGAACACTCACGGCGGTCGATAACTAGAGGAACTCGCAACTGCCGAAAGAGTACCTACTCACAGCCCACAGATGCCTGTTGCCTATGAGAAGAGTACTCACAGCTGCCGATAAATCGCATCGGGTGTATGATGGCGTCACACCGGTCTATGCTGAGTGCCACCAGCACATATGTGGACGAGAAGGTCACCAGAACCTGCAACGAAACAGACCATCAGGAGGTCAGGGTCGGGGTCAACTGCTGGGGTCAGGGGTCGAGAACCAGGTGTCGATGGTCAGGGGTCAAATTCAGGGGTCATGAGTGAGGGGTTGGAGTCAGAGGTCGAGGGCCAGGGGGCATGGCCGGGCCATGGATAAGGGGCCGGTTTCGGGGGTCGAGAGTCAAGGTTGATGTTCATGGCCCTTTTTGAATGGACAGAGGTCGATAAATATGCTTATCGATAAATTCACCGAAATAATTTGAAAATGCATTTAGAAACAGATGCAGCACAATCGATTGAGTAATCTCATAAATGAGAAACCCATAAGTCTAGCGTAATCTGCTAAGTCCACGCCTTCCTTAATCGAAACCCAACGCAGCATGGATAAATGTCACTCTGTCAACCTGCATTCCACCGAAATTTGTGGATCAGAACGACCATAACAGTGCATACAAGATGAGTTGAATCGACAGAATGCTAGGAAAAGTCCTTATCGCTCAATAATTCTGCTAGTGTATCATGAAATGAAATCAGAGCTGTTTACTGTAGATGGAATTAACAGCGCGGTGAAATTACTTATAAAAGTGAATTCTTTCTTTGAAATACTCCTCGTAAGGAAAAGATATCGCAAGGAAAACAAATGAAAAATAGCAAACATTCTTTTTGAAGGACTCAACAGTCACCTACGTCATTTGCTGTGACCAATGAACCATGGATATGCGTTCATCCTCCCTCATGTCTCGCTCTCGTTCCAGTTGACAAGCTTAGAATATGATACTTCGAAAAATCAAATTAGCCCTTCCTGTAGGTATCTGTCTAACTCTACACACTGTGCTAACTGTCTATCTGTATGTACACTGATCTGAGCGATCTCGCTGTAACACCAAGTGATAAGGGCCAAAGGGCGGTCCCTGCAGCAGTCCGTCAGGCCGTCAGTCGGCGGCAATATGTGGCCGCCGCCGTGGGCTACAAATCGACCCTGATGGACGTGACGGGTGCGCCGGTGGCTGCCCGTCAACATGAGCGTTATTGGACACCGCCGAGGTCGGCGGAAAGACGCCGGTGACACACCAGCCGTCGCTGAGTATGCAGACATTGCAGGGCGAAGAAACCGCGACAGAAATCACAGTTACAAGGGAGGTGTGGGGAGGCGATGGCGGGACAAAACGCCCAGCGAGCTTTGGTGGTAGTTATTTTATCGAACGCGTGTGTATGTAAAAACTGGCTTGACCGAGGTATGGAATCCACTTCGAGTGCCCACAAGTACGTTTAGCACCGACGCCAGAGCATGTTTTGCGGCTTGTTCATTCGAGACTAGCAAACACAGCAATTATGGGCTAATTTTCTGTAATGTTCCCTCCTAATATTATTGAAGCCATTCCAATCTTGAAGTCGCACGTAATTGCACTATTTTGGGCTAGTTCTGGTCCCTCACTACTCGCTCCGAGCAGTTTCGAAGCCGTCTGAAAATGTCAAAGGGCGGGCCCTTCTTAGATCCCGTCTAGTGCACTTACCTGGAAGTATTTGACGATTTTACAGGCGATAGCTCCGCCGTACCAGACCACGGTAAACTTTCCAACGACGTCGGTAACGACACTGATGAGGCCCACCAACAGATCTGTCGGCCGAGAGGAAACGTCAAGTCGAAGAAATATCACAAAGGCCCAGTCCGATAATTGGCGTCAAAGAAAATGACGTAACATGTTACAGAGAAACTACGGGGAAGAGCAACACCATTTGAAATGGGAAAGGATGGGTCGCTGCCAAACTTAAAAGGAAACGATTTCAGGTGACATGGAGCTGTGCTTGTGAAACAGGCGCGAGTACTAATACAAACTGGCCAAATCGGATGGACCTATCGCCAGATCAGTCCGAGTTTGTATGAATCACGGGCGGCGGATCGGTCAGATATTAGGGCGATCCGATCGGTCCGGCGCTCCATCATTGGTTTCCGAGCATCATTTCCGATCATCTGTTATCCCCATGTCGACCCATATGAGATTTAACGAGGAATGCTGGACTTCCCCGATGCAAGTTCGCCTATAAAGCTCGTGAATCGTGGGAACTACAGAATAGATCCACGCAGCTTATGGAGTATGGATTGCTAAGTCACCAGTAGCAAGCATTTCCTTCTGCTAGGGGCGATGTTCATTTTATGAATTACAATATGTTGTCCGTCTTTCGATGTCTTGTTTTTCGTTCCCCGACTTGGAGTTTTTGATGTTTCTTCATCGCATGCAATCAATGTCTTAACAAGAATGTAAATAAGGGCCTCGATTTAATTCGATAGATATTTTTTTAATCCAGATTCTCTGTGTCAGACACCAGTTTACACCGAACGATTCAGCTATGCCCAGTGCCCACCACACAAATAAGAATCCACTTCTGAAGACTAGAATCCTCCATGAAGTCTGAGGATTTCGCTATCGCACGGCACTCGGTTTACAACCCAGGAGGCATGTAAAATTTGCAAAGGCAAACGAGCGGCCACCGGAAACATAAAATGGAAACTGCCTAGGAAGGGATCGCTTTATGGCGACACGCATTCGTGCGGTCAAGCTAAACGCGCGTATCAACATCGTAAAAGAATTGCAAACACCATCAACCACCGTCATCGTTTTCCGAACGATAAATGTCAATCAAAATGATCGACATATAGGCCGAACATTTTGACGTAAATCGTATTCAGCATAGAGATCTTATATACATAATAATATGTACATAATACATACATAATTATATACATAATATGTATATTAGATCTCTATGGTATTCAGCAGCTCGGTGACGGCCGCACCGCAGAGTGCAGGCTACCTCTCTGGCCGAAACCGCACGCTATAGATTTCGGTGACTATAGACAAACTTTATGTTGGCAAACTCATGATGATTCAGTAGCAAAGGTTGCACGTTTACAGCGTGCCTCAGGGTCAGGGTGGATCACAAAAGGTCAAAAGGTCGATAAGTTTAGCATTGTGAAAAAAAAAATCTTGCAAACAGTTTTCGGCTCGTCCTAAAATATAAAAAACCTGCATACGGAATCCGCTTATAGCGCGCTTTTTCTGTCTTAGTTATGCATCAGCGATGATTTTATTTTCAAAATCATAACGACTAACTTACCTGCCAGCGCCAGGTGCATGATGAAGAAGTTGGTTCTGGACTTTCTCGACTTGGCCGACACGAGGCTGATGAGCAGCAGTGAGTTGGCGCAGACGATGACGGCGAACATGATGCAGAGAAAGGTAAGCTGCTCCACCTGCCGGAAACAGAGTGGCATCAGCATCTCTGACGACCAGAATTAATGCTGGTTGTCCATTTCAGAGTTCCCCAATAAGTTACTTGGAGCATACTGCCCCAAGTGTATTCGTAACGGACCATGGTTTTTACCTGAACCTGTGTGAATATCAATGCATGCTCCTCTATCACGAATCCCCCTGCCTCAGTATTGTCTATACCTGCTAAAAAAAGATCCTGCGACTGTACACAGATCATCAGTCTCCGATCTTCTCACCTTGTAAAAGTAAAAGCTGTCCAGGCTGGTGGCATTGGCGTCAGCGGTGCTACTGTTGTTCTCCAGGCCCTCCATCGCCGGCTCCTCTGGTAGCGTGGACGTCATGTTCACTGGCTGATGTCCACAGCGGCCGCTCGTCTGCTGGTGACGTCACTGGGAGGCGCTGCGGCTGGTGACGTCACAGGGAGGCGCTGCTGGTGATGACGTCACTCTAGGAGGCGCTACAGATTTCTGCTCGGAGGGCACCGAGACTGACCGCAACTGACGCACAACCTGTCATTTGACGAATGTCCGTATCGCTGTAAACAACATGGATTGGCTCCGTTTCTTACTGCTCGCTTCTTTTTTCGTGACCCTCAAGGCTTATGTCATAAGGACTTAACTTGTTCGCACAAACACAGCCATCTTCAATTTATCCGATGTGATTTTCTCGGCTGTGTTTAGTTGTTATGGAGACAGAAGACTTCCTTTTCTGTTGCAGATACTTTTTCGAAGTTTGCGCTGTCAGCGGACTCTTGGCTGATTAGCAGCTTCACGCAAAACTGCAACACAAACAGAAACCATGATTAATTGCTGAACTAAGCAATGACGCGGTATGATGAACAGCTGCAGGTAGCGCTATGGGAACATATCTAGTTGACAAATTACCAACTCTCAGTCAAAGGATTAGTGTGTTTGATTTGTACAGACGAAGCTGGAAGAGTGCTAAATCAGTCAATGGGGTCGGGTCAGCAACCTGTGGCCACTGACCGAATTCGGCGCGCAATGGCCTATAACATTCGGACCGTGGCGGAAACGACCAAAAACGGAACTCGCTTTTGCCTGTGGCACGACCACCAAAAGCGTGCTTTATTACGAAACAGGATGACATATTCAAACTGTCGCAACATCCCATAAATTACGCAGACCCAACTGTTGTGTGACGTTTGCTATTGTCCTCCTGGTACCGTAAATTTTAGCTTATTATGACAGCGTTCGTCCGGCTCACCGACTGTCTCTTCAGCTGCAGGTTAAATCCTGACCACACGCATGTGGCCAACCATGCATACCTAAATGTGTTATGACTTACACGAGCACACCCTAATCTTTAGAATAAGTGAATAACATTCGCATCGTTTTCCAAGAAGAATGTATATTGTAAAAAAAACACGGATCACGCACCTATACAGACGCTCAGTTTAAACAGGCTCACACAATACCATTGTGTACCGTCAAATCCGAACGGAATGAGACTGATCAAGCTGTCTCCATGCCTGTCGTCTATTTCGTGGAATGACACTAACTATGTATACCCCGGACATGAACTGGCGGGCTCCCGTGATTTATTGACATGACATAACTTTGACCAACAATCAATTTTGTCCAGTGGACCATGACCAGCTACGCAAATGTATTATGTAATGAATATTTCCTCGAAATACATATCACACAGCCTTTACAAGCTACTTATGCTTTTGCGATATATTTCACCCGCCTGATTGCACACAGGTGTAGCATAAACATTCTAAAATAGCACACATGTATTGTACTGCTGCAGATTCAGCATTGCACAGTTGCTTGTGCCTCGATGCATCAAGGAACCAAACCTATTGAAGCTGAAACAAATGGACAAACACATTCAATGGTTCGTGCCTCGCAATTTATTTCCTTCCAGATAAGGTCGGGAAGCTGAAATTTACAACTCAATCACAGACAGTAAAAGAATAGCTGGCTTCTTTTAAATCGTTCCCATTATGCAGCTCCTGCATGCGGCTATATGCGGTCACTTTGTGGCAAGGCGGGCACAGATGACTGTGACTATATTCGTGTCCACGGTGGTCCAGCATCCATCTGTCGCACACCCACCCAGTCCGAGCGCGTCACTCCGACCGCGGCCCGAAATGCCAGACCTTATCATCGCACGCGGAACCGCTGCCGAGTGTCGGTTACGACGGCAGCCGCAGTGCGCGGCAGGCGGAACGACGCGGCAGTCTTAATTTGACGCCGCTCTGCCACAGAGCAGCGCGTCTGAGTGAGATAGAGCTGGTGGGCAGAAATCCGTGCATTTACGAGTGTGCTTCAGACGTTGGCGTGAGATAAACCAGGTTGATGGTTGATGGTTGATGGGCGATGGTATTTTGGTAGCTGATATACGAAATAAAGGATTTCATTGTTTTTGGTTTCTTTCATCTAAACCTCTAATCATTTCTATCATTTACTACAAATCGAAGTTCATTGTGTCTTCATGGTATTCTGTGTGCACAATGCAATGAGCCTCATAAGCATTATAAACGTTCATATTTAAAATGAAAGACTTTATAAGTTCAGATGCTGTGATAACGGGGTGTCAATTGTTACGTGGTGGTACTGGATATCCGGATATACATACACCCGGTTATACGTCTACAGTTGTATACGGCTGCGGGCGACACGGGCGGACCATCGCGGACCACACAGCTGGACCATCGCGGACCACACAGCTGGACCATCGCGGATCACACAGCTGGACCACCGCGGACCACACAGCTGGACCATCGCGGACCACACAGCTGGACCACCGCGGACCACCCTCCGCCTGAGACGACCTCCCATCGGCGCAGTCCGCGGCGGGCGGACCCGAACCGGAACTGAACTCCGCTCCGCGCGGAACCAGAACCGGAACTGATTTCCGCCGCTCCGCGCGGAACCGGAACGCCGCTGGCAGTCCCGCTTCCAGATAGAAGAAATGAAACGGGGACGCGGTCGGGCCGGCTGAGCCCCAGTGACGGCTGATGACACATAAACTGCAGTGATGTGTCGGAGGACCGGCGTCCGAGCGCCCCGCCCGCCCACCAGCCTCCGCCAAATAAAACGACAACAGCTCTTCAGATGGCCTCCATAAAAGCGGGAGCTGGCCACATGCCTCGTAGGCCAATCAACACAGCTCAACATGCCAACATAATGGCCCAACAAAAGTCCGCAAGGAAACAATTGCAGAAACCAAGGATATTATAAAATGGTTCATGGGCTGGCCGAGAGACAGCTGTTGGCTTAAAGGGACCCTCCCACCTTCAAAAAAGTTAATGAATTGGCATGAAAGTGATGTCGCTCGGTTCAGAAAGAGCAAAAACGAATATCTACCAAATTTCATCGAAAAATATTCACCGGTTTTCAAGATATTAGACTTTTATTTTTGTTTACTTTTTGGGATTCCCGCTGTTCCTAGCGACTTTATTTGAAAGTGCGGCATTTGTTGCGCGCAAAGCAGCGTATACCACCACGTGCTACAAAACGTTTTAGTCAAACATTTAACGGACGTTCGAAAGCTTGATGACGTCATCAGATTCCCGTAATGGTTAAGAGATAGGGACCACGCTGGTCCCACCCTGCAAGTAAAGGGAAGAAATTTCTTGAACACCATAAAGCTGCGGGGGTTGCGACCAGGATAAATGGTGGTTTCTGAGCCTGGCCGCAAACTTGGCTATCTCAACTCAAAACTAATGTTAAGGTGGGAGGGTCCCTTTAACTGGCCGACGGCTGTGTTTTAGATGTGGCATGAAATGTATGTTCTTTGACCTAAATTTTGGTCAAAGTATCACCAGCATGACGGCTCAACGCCGCAAGTGTTTGGTGCAAAAACTAAAAGACTAGGATATTGCATTCGAGTAGTTGACTGCTTTGATGTAAATTAAATCGCACGCATTAGATGAGTCATTCATCTAATGCGTGGCATCAATGTGCATCATATAATGCATCATCATTATATCAGAATAGGTTTCTAAGCGGATTGGGGCATATTACATTACGAGTGAGGCACAACAGTTGAATTTCCTGAATGGTAAACATTCAGTAGGGTGCGAACTGCCTCGAGCAAGCACGGCAGGCACAGCCAGAGGTGAAAAAGCATGCTTCTCGCCTGCGTGCGTATGTGTCACCCAGAGACAGCTTTGACTATTTCTAGCTAACACATTCAAAATCGTTAAGCGTTTTTCGCCTTTGAGCCGGCACTCACGCAGGGCCACTAAGCACCACGGCACAATAGTTCAACAGCGTAATCTATTTCTATATGTACAGCTTGGTCTGAAAAAGAAAAAAACACCAGTGAAACCGCCGGTACGTTATAAAACCACCTAGGCTAGAACACTCCTAATCCCACAGGCCTCAAGTTATGACGATTGATATAGGTGGAAGGGATAACATTCGACACCGTATTCACACTTTGCGGAGTTATCTCTCGCCAGAGCACAGGCTGAGTGCTGAGCTGACCATGAAATGAAAGTCCATAGGCTCGTGCCTTTTTCTAGAATTCAGGGTTATAGAAAATGTTCAAATCTGTTCAACTCTCACCGCGCAAAAATTAAAATTGAAAGACTTTATGTTACCTACTTATAACATCATCGAAAACGACAGTAGACATATTCAGATCTCTCTTCTCGGCCATTTTTGGTCGATACCAGTGCGGCGATGATGTAAGCTTTGGCCTCGGTCGCATACGAATACATATATGCTCACTGTCCGTGAGCCTCCTTCACTCACCAGTGCCTCCTGTATATTCTATGCATCATTTGTGCGCTCCTGCATGCAGCAAGGCAATGCAGGGTCTTCGTCACAACAGCGTAAGCATATTTCCCAGGCGACCCATTCTAAACCACGTCAGACGTTCAGCCGGCGCAAAACAGGGAGGTTACAGTGATTTATGGGTCACATATGTATACCGTGCACATCGCACACAGTACCGGCAATCGGTGCGCCTGTGTGCGGCTCTGGGTCGGCAAGGAACACCAGGAGATGGGGGGCCGGGACGGTGGAGGGGGCGGGGTGGGGCAGGGGCGGGGTGGGGCGGGCGTGGGACCAGCCCCAGCGGTGTGACTCGGCGCGCCAGGAGACGCGGAGATGAGAGACGCGTCTAATGGCCCCCGAATAGAGACAAGACGATAGCTGACCAAACAGGCGCCGGCCATGGCACCGATCCCCCTGAGAAACGCGTGACCGGGCCGCGGTGTTGGGTGCTGGGCGAGGAAGGAGCCGCGAAGGGGATATATGCTGGACAGAGGACAATGCATAGTCTCGGGCACCCATGGCATACTGGGTACTGGACGCGTCGCCCCTTTCTGAAATTGTTGTGCACAGGATGACAGCGCTCCGACTGATGCACAGAATAAGCCCTATTTGTTTTACGTCTATTAAAATGAAATGTTAAAATGGAAAAAGAATACATTTCTGAACATTTATTTCGTTAAAAAATCCAAAAACACCCAAATTTGAGCAGCATTCTCCAGCAAATTGGATATTGCCATCCTGCTTTTTGGATAATTGAAATGCCAAATTATATAATGAGTTATCAGACGATCACAGCGGGTGTCACATGCTCGTAAGTCAGTATAGGCGAATCACCTACTTCTCGTACCTATCTCCATAGGCTGCACTGCAGTACGCCTCCAGACAGTAACTGTCTGGAGGCGTGTCTGCCTCTGCACTACAAGTCCATCCAAATCTCAGATTCACCGAAAGCTTTTATGGGAACATCGAATTATTTCCTCTTCTCGCTCACTTTGTTTGAACGCTTCCAAAGTTCCCGTTGAAG